TTATTATTATAATTATTAATATGGTTTGCTACTGCTTGACCTTCTCCGCAAAACGCTTTCGAGGGCTAAAATAATCACCCTCAAATAATTTCAAATTCCTAAAAAGGAAATTATCACGAAACAAAACGTCGTAATACTTCATGTCTGTACAGCCACAGCCAAAATTAAGTGAGGGAAATTCTTGTAAAGTGCCTTTCCCAAGGGCACATATAATAGGTTTGTCAATTCATGTTTTTGCTTTATCTGAAATCTTGTTTTTTAAAGACAGGCAGCAACACGTATACTGAGAAACATACAATTAATGCTTTATGTTTCTGGCTCGTTTACTATCATCCGTAATATGCCACGATATTGTCTGTGGGAACTTAAAGGAACCTAAACAAATGGGTAACAGAGAAAGATCAGGGAAACGTAGCTTTTTTGAGAGCATCCGAGCAAAGGAATGAATGGAAAACCATGATCGCCGATGTCTGTCGCAGATCTGGCACTGGATGATGATGATAATTGTCTTTGGACTGCTTTCGGACTGTCGGAAATATTATGTGTCCGCTGCACCTCTAAAGAGTTAAACCTCCAGTGAATCCACGACAGAGTGATCGGACGTAAATATTGATCTGGGGCTCAGCAGCTCACATCACGATCTACCTATCTTTTTAAATTGGGATTTGCGAAAAGAGAATAAGTCACGAGTTCTGTGATGGTCTTTAGCTTGTTTTTTTGTGCGGACATTCACGGTTAAACTTGACTTTGAATACTACCGAACATTGACCTGGCCAAACTTCGCGTGTTTTATACTGATGAAGTTGGGAAATTAGGTAATGATTTACCTGTTGCCTCTCTTAATCTACCAGCGCACGCACCCTTCCCCCACCCTCCCAAGTATTTTGGCTTCACATTTTCAGAGTTAGACCGTGTTTTCAGTGTACACACATAAACACACACACACACACACACACACACACACACACACACACACACACACACACACACACACATACACACACACACATCCA